GGTTTATTTTGCTCAGCACACTATTTTCAAGGCTTATATGATTGAATGGTGCAGAGAATCCTGTATTGTTTAAATATACCCTATTTTTGTACTCAGCACTAGTGCTGGACATGGGCTTGTTTGCCCTTTCCCCCTTACAGACAACGCTGCAGTGCCCTTGGGTGGATGTGCTAACGTGTGTTGGTGTTCCTCATTTCGGGCTCAGAGGATTCAGAGCGCTTTATATTTCACTTTAGTGATTTCCCATGCAGATAACGATGCAAATCTCTGCCCCACCTTCCTCGTTCTCATTCCTTTCTCTGTGGCTGGAATGGTCAGGCCAGAGTAGGCACTGGAGCCTGGAGGCAGGAATTCTGGCCCTGTCACCAAATAAAGTGACGGTGACACCGCTTAGACTTGACTTATTTTTTAGAGTCACAGAGTCAGCATCACCTCTCCAGGCTCTCCCCCCCCCCACGCCCCCTCCAACACTCAACAAGGTATTTGAGGGAGACTCAGGGGTAGATTCCCCAGGGCTGTGCTTGAACCGGTAGACCAGGTTCGGATGGCTGGCTTTACCAGTCTGGCCATGTTCAAAAACCCTCCGAATCCTACAACCTCGCGGCCGCAAGTTTCTCATCAGTCATCTATCCCAATGCCCTTTCGCCTCTAGTGTGCAGATTGGGATACTGAGGCCCAGAGAGAGATGGGACCAGCAAAGGTCGCCCAGGAGGAGGGAGGGTGACCAGCCATCCCCGTTTGCCTGGGACAGTTCCAGTTCCAGCATGGAAAGTCCTGCATCTCAGGCAAACATCTGGCCTCCCTGCGGCCACAGGGGCAGAGCCAAGATCAGATTGATGTTTCCAAGCTCGGGGCCCTCCGCTTGCCCTTCAGTCCTGCTTCCAATCCTACAAGACAGGAGTGAGTGGCACCTCTGATTGTCCTTCCAGACCGGAAAGCTGAAACGATACTTCACAGACCTGGAGGCCTTGGCCATGGTCACCGCTGCCTTCTGCCACGACATCGACCACAGAGGCACCAACAACCTCTACCAGATGAAGTGAGTCAGCCCTTCCCAGGCCCCCCCTCCCCCATCCTACCCTCTACCCCAGGATCCATTCCCCAAGTCTGAACAGCTTTTAGACAGATTCCCTGGCCCGGGGGTAAGTTCCGCTGTCCACAGCTCCCCACTTCCTCCTGCCCTTTGGGTCTGGGTAAACTCCTGCAACAAACAGAATAAATGATCCCCAACTATTTCCACGCCCAAATGCCTGGAGCCTGGGAATATGTCGCCCTATATTCAACAGGGATTGCAAAGCTATGATGAAGTGAAGGATCTTGAAATATATGGATTATCCTGGATCATCTGAGTGGGTCCCATGTAATCAGAAGAGTCCTTATAAGGGGGAGGAGGGAAGTAAGAGAGGAGAGAAGATACTACACTGCAGGCTTTGGAAGTGGGAGATAAGCTGCAAAATCCAAGGAATATAGGTGGCCTCTAGAAGCTAGAAAAAGCAAGGAAATAGGTTCTCCCCTAGAGTCTCCAGAAAGAAAGGCAGTCTGCAGACCCATTTTAGACTGAACTGTAGAGCTGTAGATAATACATTTTTAGTTTTAAGCCATTGAGTTTGTCGTAATTTTTTATAGCAGCAACAGGAAACAAATACATTAAACTCCCTCACTCTCTTCCTTCCCTTCCTACCTACTGAACTAATTTAAGCCAAGAGGTTAGTAACTGATAATCATTCATCCACCTTGTATTGATAATGCTCTGAATACAAGTGTGGTAGGCCCTAAGTTAGGCAAAGGAGGTACATGCTGAACAAAACAGACACAGTCCCTGTCCTCTCAGAGCTTAGATTCCAGATAGGCTCTGAAGCATAGCCCTTGAACCATGATCTTGGTGGACCCTCATGACCAATTTGTGGGCTGGGCAGAGCAGGAATGAATGTTATACCCATATTACAGATGAGGAACTGAGGCTCTGCCCAGCGCCCATAACCTGTAAGTCATTAACAAGTACCAGAACATGCTCCCCTGGGTCTTCTCAATATTTGCACGCTGCTCCAAGGCTAGAGACTGTGTTTACATCTTATCTTGTGAGAAGCTAAGTACTGAGGTCACTGTGTGACCCATGGTAAATGCTGAAAAAATATTTATTAAATAAAGACGAGAAAAAACACACTGCTTTGAGGGATTTAATGGCTTCCCCTAAGACTCAGGTATGGAGGATTTAGGGCTTGGTGACCATTAAAGAATGGCCCAGCGCCAGTGTTTATGGATGACTATAGGAGGTACATGAATCTCTAAAATTGCACTTGGCATTGTGTATGTTTGTGCCTTTTTCTGGGGATGAGAGTCCACACTATTCAACAGCTTCTCTAATGAGTCCATGACCCCAGAGACCCTCAGAATCCGCTAAAGCCTAAGGGCCAGGAGACCTGATGTCTAGTCCCAGCTCCCACCCTCACTGTCTGACAAGTTCCTCTCACTCTGGGCTTAGCCTCTCTGCCGGCAGAATTAGGAGGTGGCAGGACTGGGGTGACGTCTTTAACCTTCATCTCCGCCATTCCATGTTGATTCTCTGTGTGTGTGTCTCCCTTTCTTTGCCATTCAGATCCCAGAACCCACTGGCCAAGCTCCATGGCTCCTCCATCTTGGAAAGACACCACTTGGAGTTTGGAAAAACATTGCTGAGAGATGAGGTAGGAGGAGGGCCTTCTGCACAGGAGCCCCCACCTCACATGAAGCCCGAGTGTGGCCAGGCAGCGCTCTTCCCATTGGCCTGGGCTGCCTCTCCCGTCATCTGGGGTGACCATCAGTAGTTGGGTGACTTTACCACCAGGATCACTTCTCACACCTCTCCTCTGATTTCCTCCTTAGGGCTTGAACATCTTCCAAAACCTCAATCGCAGGCAGCACGAACATGCAATCCACATGATGGACATAGCCATCATTGCCACAGACCTCGCCCTGTATTTCAAGTTAGTATTTCTTCTCATTTTAAGAATAAGAGTAGCGATAGCAATGATTATTACAATAAGAAACATCACAGTTCCAAGCGATTCATGTGTATTGTGTGCTAGGCACAACCCTTGTGCTATGGACCATTCCTTCTCACCACAGCTCTGTGAGTTAGATAGTATTGCTCCCATTGTACAGATGGAAAACTGAGATCCAGGGAAAGAGATTTGCTAAGGTCAGATAACAAATTTGACAGAGTCTGGATTAGAAACCTAGGTCTTCACTCCCAGGCCCTGATTCTTTTAATGTTGTTTTGTTAATCATGTTGTTTTAAGAAGCCTGTATCTGAAATAGCCGATGTTAGAAGCCCAGGCGTGTCTTATTCTAAGATTTGCTCCATTAACAAATCGGTGTGTTTTGTAGGAAGAGGACAATGTTCCAAAAGATCGTGGACCAATCGAAGACATTTGAAACGCAACAGGAGTGGACGCAGTACATGATGCTGGAACAGACGCGGAAGGAAATCGTTATGTGAGTTGAGATGGGGCTTAAACCCTGATCCTCTTATCCCAGGGTCATAAGATGAGCTGCTGAAGTGACAGGCCTTGCTGCCCTCAGAAGACCCCTGGGGCACTGTCCATTTTGGAGGCCTTCAACATCTGGGGGGAAAATGAGGTTATGCCAAACCAGAATTGTAGAAATCATGGTATATGATTAACTTTTTTTTTTGGGCACTAAAATTCAAAACAATACAGTGTTATTTTATTTCTCTGTATAAAAAAAGTATAATATTCAAAGTGTTTCTTTCATATAATTCGGAATTGGTGGTAAAATTATAACTTTAACATTTTTTTTTACAAAACAGAGTATTGTGCTAATTATGATTTGGGTGATAACTATGTGTCACTCAAAATATGTGGCTTCATTTTAGTATTCCTTTCTATATAGCAACATCCTGCAGTCTAGCTGTGCTATTCATAAACGAGTCACCTGATTTATATAAAATGTATCGTGGCCCTGTTAGCAGGAGGTCTGGTAATGGGACTCATATAGAAGTTCTCTGGTAAATACCTTCTTTCACGTCTCTCAGTGTGCTCCCATGAGTCACCTCAATTCATGATGGGGTGAGAAGCATAAATGAAAGGCCCTTTGTGAATACGTGGCCCAAGTCCCTGGCTCCCCTGTGATGGGTCCTGGGTGTTGATGGTCAGCGGAGACCAGGCCTTTCCAAGGAAGTGTCAGGTTGATTGTTTATCTCCAGGTGCTTCTGAGGAGATGAGGCTTGATTAAGTCACAAATGTAGCAACCTCTGCAACAGAGAAGGGGCAGCCGCTGGGACAGGCACATGGAAGAGGGGACAAGGGGCAAGTTGCCATTCCCTCAGCCCTGCATTGTCCAATCAGGCCTCCACAAGGGTCCCCGATCCTTGGGAGCTGTGGGACCTGCTCCGCCCCTGAGCAGGGGGCACATTCAGACTACCGACCAGGGAGCAGCCTCACCTGACATTTCAAAATGGCGCGGCGGAGAAGTGAACAAGTGGGAAGAACACCCTGTTCCTGGGTAGGGGGACTTTATATTAAACATTGTCTATGCTCCTTAATTAAATATTCATTTAAGGTCATTTCAAGGAAAATATCTACTTAATTTTGGGGAATAATTGGTAGAGTTAAAAAGAATAATTCCAGAGTAAGTGCTTCTAAGTGAGACATAAAAGTCATAAATTGATTTGTAAACGTGACTACCTAAAAATTAGGGATTTCTGCACAACACACACAGGAATGCATAGCTGAAGTCAGAATGCAAATGATAACCTGGGGAAGAATATCTGTAGCACTTCTGGCGAGAGAGAGAGAGAGAGAGAGAGAGAGAGAGAGACCGACCTAATTCCTTAGTAAATAGAGTGTTAATACAAGAAAAAGACTAATCTAATAGAAAACTTAGCAAAAGGCATGAACAGTTATAAGAATTACAGAGGGGTGTAAACATGTGAGAAGAAGACTGTGCTCATATTAAGAGAAATGCAAAATCAAATTACACTGAGATATAATTATTATTTACACTCCTCCTGGCAAAGATTAAACATTTGATAGCACACTGCGGTTGGGCAGAGTGAGTGGCAACCGGCAATCTCATTCACTGCTGGGAATGTAAATGGGTGCAGCCTTTACGGTGGACAACACCCCCGACAACTGTAAGTACTCTCAGACCCAGCAATCCACACCTAGGATTTACCCCCAGGTATCCTCCCGCCTGTGTGCCAAGGAGTGTGTACAAAGTTATTCATCGCAGCATTATTTGTAATCACAAAAAAAGATGGAAAGCAACTTAAATATCCATTTGGGGGCACAAAAAGGCAGCTAGATATTTTGCCAGCAAAATAGGTCGATTCAGGAGTAACAAAGAATTGCAACACAGAACAAGCAACCATGGCATACGAGTCTGCTAAAACAAAGAGGAAACTATTTTGTAGAGGGGAAGAGGAAATTGGGAGGGCTACCATAAACAGAGAGCTCCCTGTTATGCTTTGAGGACTATGTAGGGCGTGAGAGAGCGCCCCCTTCTGGCCTCCCTAGTACTTTTTATTTGTTTGTTTTGTTTTGTTGAGCCTCACCTGAGGATATTTTTTTCCCATTGATTTTTAGAGAAAGTAGAGAGAGAGAGAGAGAGAGAAACATTTATTGGTTGCCTCCTGCATGTGACCTGAGACCAGGGCTAGGAATTGAATCTGCAACCCAGGTATGTGCCCTTGACGGGGAACAGAACCTGTGACCCTTCGGTGCACGAGTTGACGCTTTAACCACTGCTCAGAGCCCTACTACATTTGAAATGAGGTTTCTGTTTACTAATTTTTTTGTAAATACATATGCTACTTTTCATACAATGGAATGCCATATAGCCTTTACAAAAAAAAAGATAGGAAGGATTTCCAAAATACAATTTTTTCAAAAAGGCAAAGGCCAGACTTCAATCACTGAAAAAGCCCAGGTAGTGTTAGTGGAAGTCTTCAGACTGAGGCACACAAACCCCTCCCGCTACCTCCCCAACCCAAAGCCTTCAAGATGTATGGTGGTGTGGCTGGCCTCGCAGGAACCAGTGTTCTCTTCCTTAGCAGTATCTTCCTAAGAAAGCACAGAGGGTGACACACTGTCAACTCCCGCACTCCTCTCCCACTTCACAAAATAAAGGCAAACTTGCTCTTCCTTGAATCTTCCTATGGAGCAAAGGCCTCTGGGCCATCAAACAGAGGGACTATTTGGAAGCCTCTTAATCAAGGCATTATAAACCCAAGACGGGCTTCAGGCCTTCCCCGTCTTATATATTTTTTGTTGAAAGCAAAACAAGGCACTAGCAAAAGAGAATTTGGATTGAACAGCGGGGCAGCAGGAGCTGAGACATTTTACAAACTTCCTTCCTTCAGTGAATGTTCCACTGATATCAGGACAAAAGTGCACCAATAACAAGTACTGAAGGCAGCTGCACTTGATTTCATCCACATCACTATTGTCCGTCTGTCTACCTATTTATCTATCTACCTATCTATCTAGTCTCCCTACACATCTATCTACTTCTACCTTTCTTAGAATTAAGAATAAAAAAATAAGGATGCATTTTAACATGCTTATTTGAGCTGAAAAAAGAAAATCAGATTCTTTCTGACAGAAACAAGTCTGATTCGCCTGCTTTTGTTGACAGTAAAAGACTGGCATTTCCGATTATGTTCATGGCAAACATTCTCACAACTTAAATGAGTCAAATCTGCAGCTTCAGCCCGGCCGTGGTGGCTCAGTGGTTGAGTGTAGACCTATGAACCAGGAGGTCACGGTTCGATTCCCGGTCAGGGCACTGGCCCGTGTTGCGGGGCTCTATCCCCAGTGTGGCAGCCGACCAATGATTCTCTCTCAGCATTGATGTTTCTATCTCTCTCTCCCTCTCCCTTCCTCTCTGAAATCAATTAAAATATATTTTAAAAAATATTTGTAGCTTCAAAGTTTTGGTGAAATAGTTAAAAATTGTTATTTGATACAAGCACTCTATAAAAAATTTAACACTGGGAGATATAACTAGTAACGTTTTACTAGATCTAACCCATTCTGAGTATCTTGGGTTTACCAAAGTGTTGCAGAGAAACTGTCAGGGGTGTAATTTACAGTCACGTGAAGGTCTCGGTCAAACCTTTATGGCCTACTTCCCAGAAATTGAGGAAGTGAATGATCGTAATGTTAGCTTTAAACAAAACTGAAGGAGAATCTCACTGAATCACCAGCTGATTGACCATTCAGAATAATGATTACAGTATGATTGTTAACGGTTAATTTGGAAAAATTCAAAGAATTGGGTGACAGTGTTGTAACAAAACTCCATCCATTCCCAAGGTTTCTAATTAGCTGCACCTATACAAATTAAAGAATGGCAGAAAATAGCTGTTAATTCCTATCTCAGCCTAACGATAAGAAATATTCATTCATTAACTGATTTTTAAAAAATAGTCTTACCCTGTCTCAGTAAGAGATGAATTTCCACAAATATTTACTTTGAGTGTTTAGTAATTAAATATAAAAATAGGCAATATGTATATTTTATTGGTTAATTGTGTAAAAATAATAACTTAATCCAAAAGAAAAAATGTCAACACTTGGAGGCCTATGGTCAAAGAAAAAAATATTTATATAAGTTCAATTAATGGATATATTTTTCAAATGAGGAATGTCAGGCCCTCAGGGACAAAGTGACTCGCCGACTGTCACATGGGCATTAGTGGAGAACCAAAGGGCGGAACCCAAGTCACTCCCCCCGTCTCCTGCACACCCACAGTTTTCTCGGGCTCCCTCAGACCTTCCCCCTGCAGGCCACACCCGCCAGGCCAGGTGTAACGCCAGGGCGTGCCTGGGTGCCCGTTCAGGTTGGCTGGGATGTTTTCAGGGGCCAAGGAGAAGGGCCACTGAGCTGCACAGCTGCATGGAAGAGACATTTGCTCTGGGGATGGGCCAGGTGGGGAGGAGCTCAGCTTGTTTCAGCCAGGCAGCTGGACTCACCTGGCAACCCTGAGCAAACGCTTCATGTGATGAAGGTAATGATAATGAAGAGGAGGACAATGCGTGCACTAGCAAAATCATCTCAGGACGGATTAATTACACTGAACATATGAAATTGCTGATTTTTTACTGTTTTTGATCCACAAAATCTGAATTTCATATGATCCAATCTAATATGATTATCTCATTTTCTTTATTTATTTTTAATATATTTTTATTGATTTCAAAGAGGAAGGGAGAGGGAGAGAGAGATAGAAACATCAATGATGAGAGAGAATCATTGGTTGGCTGCCTCCTGCACGCCCCCGAATGGGGATCAAGCCTGTAACCTAGGCATGTACTCTTTCGACCGAATCAAACCTGGGACCCTTCAGTCCTCAGGTGGATGCTCTATCCACTGAGCCAAACCGGCTAGGGATTATCTCATTTTACAAATGAGCAAATGGAGACTCAAACACATTAAGTCACTTGCTCTGGGTGCAGCAAGTAAGAAGACTGAGGATCTAATTGTGTCTGATCCCAAAGTTCTGCATGGCATTTTATACTGTTCTCCTATTCAGCTCCATCCCCTGCTCTTGAAGACTTGCCAAGAGGAAATGGAATAAATTTCTCAGCATGCAAAGCCTTCATGACATACTCCTACTCTCTTCTACATGATAACCATGCTGTCCCTAACTCTCCACCCAGACACCTCCCTCTTCCTCACTTTGCATGTCTAATCTACTCCCCAAGCCCTGTTGAGTTTACTTCTCAAATGCCTTGTCTATCTGGACACTTCTTTTTATCATCTCCTTCATCTCTTGTCCTTGTAATGCCTTGTTTTTAGGGCATGAGGCTTTGGATTGGCCTTTCTGGTACCCCAGTGTCCTCTCCCCATCCCCCCACACACCAGATCTGTCTATGAAACACAGGCGTGTTTCCCCAACAGCTGGGAGTGATTTTCACGTGATCTCTCCAGCCGAGCACAGTAAACACTCAGTGAAGCCACACCTGTGGACTTAAAATGAGGGCCCTGACAGGTAACAGGAAGCCAGTGACTCTTGTATGCCAAGCTGACCGTTCATTTGTTTCATCTGTTTGACGGTAAGCATAAGGTATCTACAACACTTAGCATTAAGCAAAAGGCACGTCTTCTGAAGTTATTACAAAACATAAAGGTGTTTCTAAGAAATGTATGCATTTCTGAAAGCTTATTTGCTTGAGGGTTTGCTTAGAAAAGAACCAAGATGGCAGCATAGGTAACCGCCTGTGCTCGCCGCCTCCCACAACCACATCCGAATTACAATTAAAATACAGAACAACCATCATTTAGAACCGCCTGAAAGCTGGCTGAATGGAAGTCCTGTAACTAGAGAAGTAAAGAAAAAAGCACATTGAGAGGGGTACCAGGGCCGGAGGCGTGGAACCGACGTGTACTTTTTTTTATAATCGGGAGGGAGATTGTTCCTGCGGAGGCCGCCCGTAAAAAACAGGGGGTCCCAGCCCCACACCAGACCCCCAGCCCAGGGTTCCAGAGCTGGGAAGAGAAGTCCCCGCAATTAAGGGCGGTAAAAACCAGCGGGTTTGGGGCTCAGTGACGCGGAGGCTGCTGGAATCCCAGGTGTTCCTCTTAAAGGCCCGCGCACAAACTTACACTTCTGGCTGCTTCCAAGTTCCAGCACCGCGGGACCCAGACACATAGGGGAGGAACTGGATGGTCTGGCATCGGGGCAGGAATTCCGGGGCACTTTCTCCCAGATGAGGGTGCTCCAAGGGGTCACTGTGCCTGTGCTGGGACCTCCCCTGTCATAGGGCTGAAGACTTTCCATCAACATGGCCCACACTGTTTGCTCCGCCCTGGGGATTCCCTGAGACCCCGCCCCATCCAATTTGTAGCCCCACCCAAGCTGTTTGAAGCAGCTTTCCCATATGAATGGCTTGTCCTGGCACAGGCTTCAGACTCTACTAAAATCTCTCCAGCAAGCTGCAGCTGGTGACAGCATGCTCCACACCTATCAATAAAAGGCCCCAGACCCGGCACTAGTACCAGCCTGCCTGGCTTCACAGCTGGGCCCTGCCTGGGCACCTCCACCCCGAGCCACTGGGCCTCACAGGACACCTACCACAGAAGGCCACTCTACCAATTCCAGGAGGCATAGCAGCTCTACCTAATACAGTGATGGCGAACCTTTTGAGCTCAGCGTGTCAGCATTTTGAAAAACCCTAGCTTAACTCTAGTGTCGTGTCACATATAGAAATTTTTTGATATTTGCAGCCATAGTAAAACAAAGACATATTTTTGATATTTATTTTATATATTTAAATGCCATTTAACAAAGAAAAAGCAACCAAAAAAATGAGTTCACGTGTCATAGGTTCGCCATCACTGACCTAATACATAGAAACAAACACAGGGAAGCAGCCAAAATGTGGAGACAAAGAAACAGGTCACAAAAGGAAAGAAATGAAAACAAGTTAACTACTGGATACAGAGTTCAAAACCATGGTTATAAAGTTAGTCAAGGATCTTCATGAGACTTTCAAGGTTCTTAGTGAGAATGTCAAAGACATGAAAAAGGACCAGTCAGAAATTAAGCATACACGAACTGAAATAAAGAATAATTTATAGCCCTGGCTGGTTTGGCTCAGTGGATAGAGCGTCGGCCTGCGGACTAAAGGGTCCCGGGTTTGATTCCGGTCAAGGGCACATGCCTGGTTGTGGGCTCAATCCCCTATAGGGGGTGTACAGGAGGCAGCCAATCAATGATTCTCTCTCATCATTGATGTTTCTATCTCTCTCTCCCTCTGCCTTCCTCTCTGAAATCAATAAAAATATATTTTTAAAAAAGAATGATTTACAGGGATCCAACAGAAGAGGATTCTGAGAATTACTGCAGCATCTCTCCTCCTTCCTTCCTACCCTCTCCATCCTACAAGTGTTGCCAACCTGCTTCGCTACAGCCCAGCTCTGAAGAGGTCATGACTGGGCCCTAAATTTCCAATAGCTCTCCATGCCTGTTGGATACAGTCTACACTCCCCAGCAAGGATTCACACCCACACCACGTGGCCCTGGATTCCCACCCCAGACGTTCATGCCTCTACCCCCCTGTGTCTGAAACACCTTCTTGAATTCCCCTCTCTTGCTCCAATTCTTTGTTCCTTTCCATCTTATGTTGTACCTGCCTGTGTAATAATACTTATCTTACCTTCCTAATATTAGGAAACTCCTTTAAGAGTTCATCTTTCAATCCTTTCTTTCTTTCCTCAATCCTTTCCTCAACTTTTTTTAAAAAAAATTTCATCAGTTCACTTTTTATTTGCAGCAACATTTTACTAGGAAAAATTTTCAGACACACAGAGAGTTGAAAGAATGTTATGCCCACCCTCCAGATTCTGCCATTAACACATTATTGTCAATTCATCCCTTTATCTGTCAATCCAGCTTATTTGTTGGATGCGTTTCAGAGTAAGTTGCAGGCATCAGCGCACTTTCCTGCAAATACATCAGCACGTATCTCATTAACTAGAGGTCAATATTTGTTTACAGCTCTTTTTTTTTCTTTTAAGGCAAACGTTACCTACAATGAAATGTGCAGATCCTAAGTGTACCGCTTATGAGTTTTGACAATTCCTTCCTCTACTTCTTAATGCAAAGCTTCCTCTCAATGACTGAGCCACACAGGCATTGCCCACTGAGGCACAAGTGGTTCTTGGGAGATGAGCAAAAAATCTTAGACGTTTCAATGGCCTGTGGCCCTCTAAACAGATATACAGTATGTCTGTGGTAATTAAAATTTCATGGTGGAGCAATTATAGAAAAACTTTGTCTAAGAAGGATTTTTGGCAGGAGACGGGGAGGATGATGGGAAAAGGTTGACAAACATTGTTCTATACTAGACAGGCGAGAAGGAACTCTGAAGATGTGATGAGATTGAAATGAAATTGATCTCTACGAAATGGCTAGGACAGAGTGTGGTATATCATAAAAACCCAAAATATGTTCATGATAATTACCAATACTTATTGTGCACATACTTTGCCCAGGTGCATGCTACGATTTTATACACATTATCTCACTCAATCTTGCACCCACTCCATGAAGAAATTACCATTATTATTACAGTCAAGCACACTGAGGCTCAGAGAGGTTGGTTCAATTGCTCAATGTCAAACTCCTGGTAATTGACAGAGGCAGGATTTAAACCACCGTCTGACTTCAAAGCCCCCCTCAGATGTACTGGGGAAGTGACCCCCCTCCTCACAATGGGGTGAGGTCACGTACTAGTTGGGGGACAGAAAGAAGGGGTAGATGGAATTAACAGTACGTGCAGCCTTCAATGGCTCTGGACTGATGGGTGGTGTCCTGTGCCCAGGGCCATGATGATGACCGCCTGTGATCTCTCAGCCATCACCAAGCCCTGGGAGGTGCAGAGCAAGGTATGGCCTCCTCCGGAGCCGAGAGGAGGGGGTTCCAGTACTGGTGGCGGCAGCTAAGGCGGCTTGGGATCCCCAGCTCCAGAGGCAGCCCACTTTGTCCCATCCTCCTCCGGCAAGACACGGAGCTCACTTTAGGACCCTCCCATGATGACCGTGACGTGGGGGTGGCGGGGCCGGAGTGGGGTTTATGCTTTTGTTGAGCTGGAAATCCAAGTGGAGTGGAATAGAATCGCAGACACGGGCAGGAGGACTGGGGCTGGGGCTGACTCAGGGTTGGGGGGTCTGCCTGTTGCAGGTAGCTCTGCTGGTTGCTGCTGAATTCTGGGAACAAGGTGACCTGGAGCGCACGGTGCTGCAGCAGAACCCCATTGTGAGTAGCGAGGGGACGTCAGCCTGACGTGGGTATGTGACCTCTTCCTGATGGACACCTGTGACCTTGCCCTGGCAGAGAACTGTGTCCTCTCCCCACCCCCTGACATAGAGATGGCCTTTCCCTAGGCCACCGTCAGCCTCCTCACTGGGAACATGATAGAGATGCAAATTCACAGGCCCCACCCCAGACCTCCCTCAGCAGAGACTGTGGGGGTGAGCCCAGCAAGGGTGCCCTCCCAGAGTTTGGGACCCTGCTCTGATAGGATGGCCTTAGCCCACTCAGCTAAGCAGAGACTGACAAGTGGACACCAAAACTTGGATTTCCCTTTTAGTTCCAATGGTCTGGGCGGCCACCTCCCGGGCCCTGTTCTAACAGCAGAGAGTGCCGGGGAGGAAAGGTCTTGTTTGTCAAGCTGAGGACCCACCGATGTTGATAGTTCAACCTGACTGGACAGTCAGCCAGCTCCCCGCTGGAGGCCAGTTAGAGGGTTCACCGAGGGCCCTGCTCTGGGGCAGGGCTAGGAGGTAAAGGTGGGGTAAAAGAGAGAGACCTTTTGGGGACAGAATCACAGATGTGGGGATGGGCTCACCTGTGAGGTGCTGAAAGTGGTGGGGTACCCGTGAGGCCAGAGGGAGAGTGGCAGGGCTGTGAGGAGCCGGCAATGAGCATGAACAGCAAGGGCCGGTGGGATTTGTGACTCTCTTCTTCCTTTAACACCTTATAATGGACAGGGCACGGCTAATGAACTCTCTGTAGCCAGATGCAACCATTAGCCACAGACAGCCGTTGGTTTATCTCTGACCCTTTCCTGTGCATTTTTAATCTTTTGGCTGATGTATTTTAAAGGAAGTAAGTCTCAGAGGTCATTTCTTCTATGACTATGTTATAGTTTGTATCTCTAAGAGATAAGAACTTTATTTTTTTAATATATATTTTATTGATTTTTTTTTTTTTTTTTTTTTTACAGAGAGGAAGGGAGAGGGATAGAGAGTTAGAAACATCGATCAGCTGCCTCCTGCACACCCCCTACTGGGTATGTGCTTGCAACCAAGGTACATGCCCTTGACCGGAATCAAACCCAGGACCCTTCAGTCCGCAGGCCGAAGCTCTATCCCCTGAGCCAAACCTGTCAGGGCCAAGAGATAAGAACTTTAAACAAACACACCCAACCACCGCACCATTATCACCTCATGATGATGATTAGTAATAATTCGTGAATATCCGCTAACCCCCAGCTCCTTCACTTTCCCTGCTGAGTAATGAAAATCATTTTGTTTGATTTGCTCAGATCAGGACCCAATCAAGGAACCAACGCCCTCCTGTTGTTGCCGTGTTTATTGTCTCTTTTCATCAACAGTTGTTTCCTCGTCCTCTTTCTTTCTTTCTTTTTTTAACCTTCCGTGTGTCATTTATTTGTTGAAGATGTGGGTCTTGTGTTGTGCAGTGTCCCACCTCGTGGTGTTATTTAACATGTCCCGCTAGCCCCGTATTTCCTGCAACCTGCTAGTTCGATCTGGAAACTTGATGAGTGGGAGGCTTGGTCTTGGTTTGGCAGGAATGCCTCACCGGCAGGAGGGGCCGGCGCAGTTAACTCTTTCTCCCCCACGCCAGCCCATGATGGACAGAAACAAGGCGGACGAACTCCCCAAGCTGCAGGTCGGCTTCATTGACTTTGTCTGCACCTTCGTCTACAAGGTGGGTCCTGTGCTTTCTCGGGCCCATGGCTTTGTCGTTGATAAAGCTGGGGCCCAAACGCCAGCAGGAACACTCAGCCCTGGCAAGTGGCCAGCGGGTGGTATTTCACAAAGCCCTTCTCCTCTGCAGTGGCATCTGGTCCTCAGACAGCCCTCGGGGGTCTTGTGGGACAAACGACTAAGCAAGGTTTCAGGCAGGGAAGGGAAGCATCGCAGACTCACACCCTCCTCCCTTCCCCAGCTGGTGGGCATGTGACCGGTCAGCGTAACCCAGTGTCGGCAGATAACCTGGAACTCCTCTCTGAGCTCTTGCTCAAAGCTGCCGTCTCCCTCTGAGAAACCCACTTTTACATGATCTGTGCCACCGCTCACCTCCCACTTGTTACTTTTACTCAGGCCATGTTCCACGTGAGGAAACAGAGGCCAGAGATGAGAAATGACAGGCCCGAGGTCACTGGGGTCAGCCATGAGATGGGATGAGAGCCAGGCCGCCTCCCCCTCGGTCCAGGGCTCTTTCTGTTGTGTGAGCTGCACCCCTTTGGTTTGGAAGTTCAGGTGCTCCCAGAGGTGAACAGGTGCCTCTCTGACATAACACAGGCTCAGGGGCCAGGGGGGTGGAGGGGCATGCTCTGAGCACCAGGGCAGAGCAGCCAATGCTCTGTTATCCTCAGTATGTTGTCAAACAAGGAGCCTGGGCTCAGGGCTTGATGTGTGTTACCAGCCCCGTGAGGTAGGTATTATCTCTGTAGGCGACCTGCCCAAGGTCACACAGCTCACGGCAGAGCCTGGATCTGAACCCGGGCCGCTCCGAGCAAAACCCCCCCCGAATTTCCATTTCAGTTTCCCCCCCCTACCACTCTGTTGGTGGTGGTGGTGGTGGGGGTTGGGGGGGGGGGGGATGAATCTTGTTTCCCCGCCTCCCAGGAGTTTCTGAGGAGGGAGGGAGATGACCGCTTCTCTCTCCCAGGAATTCTCCCGCTTCCATGAGGAGATCACTCCCATGCTGGATGGGATCACCAACAACCGCAAGGAGTGGAAAGCACTTGCTGACGAGTATGAGGCCAAGATGAAGGCTCTGGAAGAGGAGAAGCAGAAGCAGCAGGCAGCCAAGCAAGGTTCTCCGTGGTGGGGGTGGGGGAGCCCTGACCCCCATACCGAGTGCTCACGGTGTGCCTGGCCTGGCCTGGCCGCAGAGCCACACACATGGGGTCCCATTCAGACCCTGCCATCACCTATTATTGTCCCCATCCTACGAAGGAGGGCGCCGAGGCTGGCAGACGTACTGTGGCCACGTCACACCGTCACACCTTTAGTAAGTGGCAGAGCCTGGTTCCCAGGATCGAGGCTCCCCGAAAGGATTCCCTGACTGCGCGCAACCAGCACTGGACAGAGGGCCCTACCCAGGGGCAAAGAAGAAAGCCTAAACTTATTGGTTAGAAGGAATTTGAGGCCACATTTCCAGCCTTCTGTCTGATGTTTGAATCCTATCTATGCCGTCATGACCCTTTGCTTGCACACTACTAGTGGCAGAGGGCTCACTACCTTACAGGAAAGCCTCATTCAGTCACTATTAGAAAGCTCTTCCTTGAACTGAAACTGTTCTCCTGGTTGAAACTTCCACTTAATGGCCATAGCCCTGCCTTCAGGAAT